TATCCTTTCAGTGTCAATTTCAATATCTAAATGTACGTGTAAAAGTGCTAGACCTATCAGTCTTTCTTCATTCATGATACTACGCAACCATGTTTTTAACCGGCGAAGGGTTGTAAAACTTCTTTCGGAAGTAGCATTAATAGCTGGAAATGTGGAGAAGTTTGTTAATCAATGGAAAAGCATATTCGTCGCATTTACCAAGAACTTCTGCTGCTGATTTTGGGAATGGCTTTTCGCTTTCCTTATTTGTCCATCGTTCCAACCACACTTTATACTCTCCTTTCAAATTGATACCATCTTTTTCTAAGAAAAGTTTGTATCGTTTTCCAAGCGATTTTACGCNTCAAATTGACACCATCTTTTTCTAAGAAAAGTTTGTATCGTTTTCCAAGCGATTTTACGCATATTATATTCCCCATTTTTAGATGGAAGTAATAAGTTCAAATCAAAAATGTTTAATGTCTCTTTCGGCAATCTTTCTCGGAGATCGAGCAAAATATTATCCAATAGTGGTATAAATATTGCCTTTCGATAATAATCTTCAGCGTTAGACGCAAGATAATTAGCCGAACATTGCACCGCGGAAATAGACAAGAAGTAGTATCAGAATGTTCCATTTGACATACATACATACATTAATATAGCCCAATTCTTAATACTCCCAGGGAGTTTGTTCTTCGGGAAGTTCCCGAGAAAGAAGTCCTCCAATAATTAACTCCCAGGAAGTAGCATTTTCCCCGAAAATTTGGAAAGAGAAAATTCAAGCTTCGCAAGAGCTGGTTGATACTTTTTTGACAGCTCAACTTCGCCATTTGATATAAAAAAATCCGCAGGGAATTTTTATTCATGATGGGAGGAATTTGAAAAGAGAGAAAACTTCCAGGGAGTACCTGTTCAGAATCGGCCTGATGGTATCTATATACCCATTGTTTTTATTTTTCACGTTGACGAAGAGTTTTACTCGATTTCTTATTATATAAATAATCTTGTGCAAGCCTAAAAATGGTTACGATTGAAGATTAAAATAAAAAAAAACTTAAAATTTTTTTTTTTCAAATTTCTCGTTTGAGGTAATATATTTTATCAGAAATTTAGCTTTTTCGAGCTCTGGGGGGGAGGGGCGGGCGATCGCCCACATTCCCCCTCGCCAGCCCCCTCACTTATTTTATGTATTTGGCATTTTCAACGAACTTTGCGAAGAATATCTAACAATCACGCTTATTGCCAANAGGTAACATATTTTATCCGAAATTTTTCCCATTTGATATAAAAAAAATCCGCAGGGAATTTTTATTCATGATGGGAGGAATTTGAAAAGAGAGAAAACTCCCAGGGAGTACCTGTTCAGTTTCGGGCTGATGGTATCTACGTACCCATTGTTTTTATTCTTCACGTTGACGAAGAGTTTTACTCGATTTCCCATCACCAAAAAATTCGTCGACGTCCGTACCAAAACGCAAGCCGCGAATATTAGGTTAGCCTGTTAAAGTTGAAAATATGTTTAGCTTATTCTCCTGATTGGCAGTGTTTATACCAACGGTGGGCAAACGCAGCTCTTTGAGCCAAATGCGGCTCTTTGCTTAGCAAAGTGCGGCTCTTTTTACTTTCCGTTTGCTCTTTTTAACCGACTTCCAAAAAAGGAGGACGTTATCAGTTCGTCGGAATATTTTTTTTTTGTTTTTATGTATGTTACCGCATAACTTTGGACTACGTCAACCGATTGCGATAATTCTTTTTGCATCGGAAAGGTAGTGTCTCAGAGGTGGTCCCGTACTAATCTGGTTAAGATCAGATAATTGGATCATGAAAAAATTAACGGTACTCAGTGGATCATGAGATATATGTATATATATTATTTTTTATATGAGAGTTTAAGTCGGTTTTTTTTTGCTAAAAATTACTTGTTAATTTTTAAAATCCAAATTTCTTTGCTGGACATTCTTTTGAATTGTGTTGTTTTTTATTTTATTTCTTTTATGTACACATAAGCAAAGAGAGATCGGAACATTAGCCGCAATTGGAGAATGAAAATTGGCTTTCTGACTTAATGTTCTGTACCGATATGGTGGAACATTTGCAAAACTTGAATTTGTCTCTACAAGGAGAGAATAAAGATGTTTTTGATTTGTCACAAATTATTTTAAGTTTTGAAGCTAAACTGCGCCTTTCTATTCATGATCTCAAAAAAAAAATGATTTAATTTCCATGGCTAGAAAAAAATATTGCACATAATTTAGAAGTTTTGAACTTTTTTCCGATTTTAAATTATTTAAATGTACGTTTGCATACTTCATAAACCCTTTTTAACCGATTTCAAGAAAAGGAGGAGGTTATCAATTCGTCGGAATGTTTATTTTGTTTAATTTATTTTTTTATTTTTATGTATGTTACCGCATAACTTTGGACCACGTCAACCGATTTCCGATTTCGAAAATTCTTTTTGCATCGGAAAGGTAGAATCTCAGCGGTGGTCCCTTACTAATCTGGTTTCGATCAGATAATTGGATCATGAAAAAATTAACGGTACTCCTAAATTATATTCAACAATTTTTATGAGCTCGAGGTCGTTTTTAGTGAAACGTTATTGTGGAAAAGCAACAATAATTTGAAAAAATTGTAGAAGTGATAGCTATTTCGGAAATCACCACATTTCCTCATCAGACTTCTTTCAGTAGGATTCGAACCGACGATCACCACTGACTCAGCCAGTTGCCTACGCACTGTGCTAAGTTTGTCTTGTTAATTCTTGTTGCTTATTTTCCACTATTTCACTTTGCTAAGCCAACTACAATCAAGCGCAGCTATTCCGCTGCAATTCACTTGATCATGTGGTTGTTGGTTTTGTTGGTTTTTGTTAATATTTCTATTATTAGAATGTTTAACTTTTTAGGTGTGCTCGTCCTTCAGTTATTTGTTTTTGTTATTGTTATGGCCTTATAACAATTATATTCAACAATTTTTATGAGCTCGAGGCCATTTTTAGTGAAACCTTATTGTGGAAAAGGAACAATCATTTGAAAAATGGTAGAAGTGATAGCTGCTAGGCTATAGCTATAGCTATAGGCACTGCCCATACAAACTGAGATTCTCATATCGCTTATCTCTGGAATCGCATATGCTAACGTCTTGAAATTTGACACAGCAACATATGTTTTCAATACCGTACTTACGGCGAAGAGTCGCAGATTTTGGAAAAAGGGCCGGAACACCGCCCATACAAACTGAAATTCTCATATCGGTTATCTCTGCAACCACTTATTTTAAGGTAATGAAATTTTATACACATATAAAATCGCAAGAATTATTCACTTGGGAACTAATTTCTCCCAGATTTTAAAATCGCATTGAATGATTGTTGTTTTGTGCAAAAGTTTTTAGAAGGACCAGTGTGTTTGTCTTCCGATAGGTGGCTCAGGGATTAAGAGCTATCCTGAAAAATCATATTTGTGATCAGATTTGTTTCATTTTTAAAACACATATTAGTAACATAAAATTTGGTGTAACTTGGTAGTCCAATCGTGTCATGAAAGAATATTAGGCTCTGGCCCAGTCTTGATAAAAACCCGTGTGAAACCGCTGTTAGAGAAGGAAATATTATCTTTTTTTGTAAACCTTCAAGATACTTTCTCAACCGTTAACGATTCTGATGAAAAAAAGAAAGAGTTTATGTAGATGTGGGAAATTTAGTTTTTAACCTCCAAGAAGGTTTGTATTTGAAACTGAATTTAGTTTGGTCATATATGTAGTCCAAAAAGTTTAAAATTAAAACCGAAATTTTTAACCGTTTACTAGATGTTGAAAACAGCTGCGTGTCGCATATTTTCAATTCTTGGTACGTATAACTGTGGGTCTTGTACTCTACAATGAAATTCGTAAAGTAAAAATACCGTTCACAATTATTTGCATTCGCGTACCTGATAATTATTGAAAGTTATAAAACCTATCAGCTTTTTGTGTTCGCGTAAGCAAAAAACTTACAAAGTAGGGGAAATTGAGAGAGCAAAATGACATTTCATTTTGAGGGAAAGCTGCTAGTTTCTGCTGGAAAATTTTTTGCCAATAGTAATTTGCCAACAAGAAAACAGTTGATCAAAAACAGCTGGTTGGAATTTACGCAAATCGCTAAATTTAATTTGGTGGTTTGGAAGTTAAAATAGTAAAATCCGACTAATTAAGAAATAAGTAATTATTCGTTTAGTCAGGGAACTGTGTCAGGATAAAACTTCGGGATTTGTTTTCTTACGCTTTCATTCTTATTCTTTTGAATATAAACAAAATTTCTATCAGCTGTTCGTCGAACTTGTAAGTTTCTGCAAATTTTCTGTTGTATTTTGGCTAAAGGGATCTTGTAAATTTTCTTTAATATCTATCTTACACGTACATTAGAATAATAATAAAATTAATGTTTTTCATTACTAATAATAATTTTATTTAAAAATAAAATTTTTGTTTTTGTTGTTTTTTTTGTGGCTCTTTGTAGCATTTAGAATTTACATGTGGTTCTTTTCGGCCTCAGCCTTGCCCACCCATGGTTTAGTGGTTAACTATTTAATTGATTATGCAACATAAAGACCATCGCAAGGGCCAATTCTTTGATAACTTTGCTCTCAGCATGTTCAAGAAAAATATCGTAAACGCCATTTCCCCTTTAGGCAATAGGGTATGCAAAAAACAAAAGAAAGCGAGCATTGAATAATGTTGTTTTCGATTTAAATCCAAATAAGTTTTTACACTGTTTAAGGGAGAATTCAAAAAAACTCTCCTTTAGAATTTATCTTTTGTCGCTGCCGATAAAATAGCAATCAGGGGTCGACATGTATGTATATGAGTTTCGTCGAAAAATAAGATCATGATCCGGAAGGTGTATTTTGGCTTAAAAACTCCAACGCTTTTGTAATTAAAACTAGTTTATAATCATTTGTTTTCATTCCATTCACTAATCCTTTGCCGGCAAGCATATTAATTTAATTATGTATTATATTTTGTGGTATATTTTGTAGTTTTCGGATTCACATCCCCGTGACGTTGAAGAACTTTGGGGCACACTCTGCCAATTCTGGCCAAACAACCTCAAGGTCATCCTACGCTACTTGGTTATCATGAGTGGCATGGCGCCGAATGAACTTTTACCATATGTAAGTGGGTAAACACGGCACATTTTCAGAAATTAAAAAACACCTCTTCAAATCCATTGCATGCATGTATAACAGCTTAAAATGTTCATATATACATATATGTTTATGTACAATAGACTGATTTAAAAAAAAAAACCATTTTTCGAAATTTATGTGCCATGATCAAAATCTTTGAAAGCAGCAAGAAAAAACATGTTGCTGAAAATTTGAACGAAATCGGTGGCCGTTTAGGGGTTGCTCAATGCGATTTTCAATGTTTACCATATCGCGCACCTGAAATACATCGTCGTCAAAAATATCGTCTATTTACCACAAATATTGAGCTAAATGTCTGAAGTTTTGCACATACCATTGCTAAATACCATAAAATCAACTAATCTAAAATTTTATGTAAACATTTTTTTGCGTTAATAAATAATTAATGGTTAACTAGCGATAATTAGTTAGTTGATAATTATTGATCCCACTAACTTTTTGTGGTAAAAATTGAGAAGAACCTTTAGCACACCTTCACAAACTATAATACATCTACAAAAACATCCGCACTTGTAATTTGTTAGTGTTAAAGGACTTTTTTAACTTTTGGGGCTATGTGGGCGGGTTAAAATCGTTTTAATTTACGTGTAGGAACGCGTACCACTGTACGATGAAACACTGAAGGAAATAGCACAAAGCAGCCCGGATAGGACGATCGTGCCAAAATAAAGAGAAACTAAAAAAAGAACAATAGGGGTTAGTTCAAACCGATCAAAGCGACCAAAAGAGACTTTCCTTTGACATCGCAAAAAGTGGAGTGACTCTTGTTCAAGAGTACAACAATATCTTATCCAGAAACGAAAAGCAACAACAAACTTTACTTTAACAGTTAGCGAGCATCGAAAGAAGTTCAAAGATGTTGGAAAAAATACAGTTAAGAAGATATGGGAATGATTTTTGAAATAATTGTCTTCAGTTGCATATACATAATTATCATTATTTGCCCATTCTCTGACATTCCATTGCAAGAAAGAAACAAAATTGCAAAAAATTAACACCCCCTATTCTGCAATACTTTCGTATTCGGATTATGCTGCAACCCGAATCGTATCTTCGAACTTTCGAAATTCGTAACAATGGCATGCCTAAAAACGAGCGAGTAAGAAGTTGACAGCTTTTTTGCGTAATTATGTACGAAAATAATTCCGTGTCGGAAGCGAGATAAAAATTTAGCAAAAAGATGTAAATCGATGTGTGTTTGCAGGAATTATTAGTGGTGTGCTTTTAAACAGATAAATTTGCTTTTTGCATATATGTACGTATATTTTTATGCACTGCTTTATATGAACGAACAAAACAGAATGTTTGTTGCCCCTTATCGAGAAACTTGGGCTGGTTTAGTTATTTGTACATGAACGCATGACCGGAATCTAAAAAATTTAACATGCACTTATGGTCAAAGGATTAGACTTTAATTTAAAACAAAGGTTCCAAAATTCCGAGCTCTAGTTTAGTAATAAGTTCGGTTTGAACCATGCACTTTTTTCTTAAATTCAGTGGATGTCGTAGCCGGAGTTATATGCACAATAAATGTTTTATATCTTTAAGTGTATAAGAGGGGCTTCCGCCCTCTTCTCCGGCAACACAGAAAAGAGAATTCTCATAAGCAAGGCTTATAATTCCTAAGCTCGGCCGAAAGCAGAAGCAAGCGCAACCAGGTGGTGGACTAACAAAATGCATATTTTCAATGCCTTGGAAGCAGTTATTGCATTAACTGGATTGAGAACCAGTTCTTCAGGCATAGGAGGAATTATAGCTTGTGGCTCAACAATTCAACCAGAAGTTGACATAGATGCGTCCATGGTTACTATGCCCGACAGCTACGCATACCTTTTTGAATCCATTGCCATAGCGCGTTCTTACTCCGCTGCTATAATTCCAAATGCATCAGAATCTATAATTTTCCTCAAAATATGTAAAATCAACCAATTTTACAATAAACAAACACATGATAAGTATTTCTTTAATTCCTTGTCGATGTCGATTTTTCGTTCTAGAATAAGGGTGTAACATTCCACTTTGTTTTTGTAGTTTATTATAATTTCTGAACGTGTGCTAAAGGTTTTTTCTCAATTTCTACCTCAAAAAGCTCTTGGGATCACTTGTTATTAACTAACTAATTTTCGGTAGTCAACCATTAACTATTTATTAATATGAAAAATTTTTTAAACTCAATTTTAGATAAGTAGATTTTATGGTCTTTAGAAATGGTATGTGCGAAATCTCAAACATTTTTAGCTTAATATTTGTGGTACATAGACGATATTTTTGACGAAGATGTTTATCAAGTGCGCGATTTGGTAAAAATTGAACATTGCATTGAACAACCCCTAAACGACCACCGATTCGCTCAAACTTTCAGAACCATGTTTTTTATTGATGCTTGCAAAGATTTTGATGCATCGCACATAAATTTCGAAAAATCGATTTTTTTGAATCAGTCTAATGTACAATTATTTGTGTATATAAGATATTTATTGGAGCCATATACTTGAATAAGCCATTTTCTGAAACATGTCCTTTTGTGTGTATTAATATGCATTCATTTTCATGTGTTCGTATGTACGAATAGGCGAAACGCGTGGCATTGTATCTCGCCCGCACTTGCCCCGACCGTCTTTTGGACGAACTAATGGTAGAACTGCAAACTGTGGAAACGCTTAATTGCTTAATTGAACGCACCGAGACACCACCATTTTATCGCCTAACAAGCATGCGGAAAGCTTCCAGCCACTCTGCTGACGGTAAGTTCACCATATGGTTAACGCTTTTTTTTATGGTTGGTTGAGACCAGAGGTGTTAAAAATACTTGTAAAATTATATATACAAATATGTACCTTAGCCCGGCCAAGTTCAACATTCAAGGTTACAATAATTCGCATAAAGCTGAAAAAGGGTACGAGTGTTGTGAACACCATTATGAATGAAATGTCAAAATTTATTCAAGGTCAAAGGTCACACAAATTGATTTTTTTTTTTTTGATTTTTCAGCGAAATGGTAAGGTTTGTCACAAAAATAGGTGATACGAAAGTGTAGATCATCAAATTATCTATAAAACCCGTTATAACATTTTTCTTCCTGAGAATTACCATTTCTGAGATATAGCGATTAAAAAATTTGCACATAATATGCATAATTTACACTGTACTTGTGGGGTAGTATATTTGGCGCGTTTTTTACAACGCTTTAATCAACTTGCAATGTTCTATGTCCAGACCACCATTTTTTACCATAAATATAGCAAAGGTATTTATGGCAAACCTAGTCTAGATGTCAACCTCGTCGTAGGTATCATATCAAAGACATCGTAAATTTTAACGTTTACCAATTCAGTTTTATTCAAACCAAACCTGCTTGCTCATATGTGAAAAGATTAGCTTGACTACTTACTCATATGTATAAGATAGCTCGCACGAAAAAAAACAATAGATGGCACTCCAATCAAAAATTATTACAGATGGGTTAGTAACGCCATAAAACTTCCGTTTGTGTTGGGGTTTCGGCCACGCTCCCAGCAAAACCAGCGTGACCGAAACTCCAACACAAACGCAAATNTAAGATAGCTCGCACGAAAAAAAACAATAGATGGCACTCCAATCAAAAATTATTACAGATGGGTTAGTAACGCCATAAAACTTCCGTTTGTGTTGGGGTTTCGGCCACGCTCCCAGCAAAACCAGCGCGACCGAAACTCCAACACAAACGCAAATTTTATGGCGTTACTAAAACACCTGTAATAATTTTTGATTGGAGCGCCATCTATTGTTTTTTCGTGCGAGCTATCTTTCACATATGGGTAAGTAGTCACGCTAATCTTTTCAAATATGAGCAAGCAGGCAAACTATTTGGTTTGAAAAACCACACGTACACAAAACTTCTGGGAGCATTTTTGATTCACTATTAAAATGTGATAGCAAAACGTGCCGAACTTAGCGGGCACGCGTGACGGTCACGTCAGTAGGAATGTGACCGTCACTGTTCTTGCTGGGCTGGTTTTGCTGGGTGTATATACATACGTACAAGCATACATATGAGTGTATGTACCCTGCAGGGAAACCCCGAACTAGTGAATGAAATTTCTAGTTCCGTACTAGATCTTTATCGCGAAAAACGAACCAGTCCGATAGTAACTACATCCCCACAAGTTTAAGATCAGCGAAATGTGGTATGTATTTTTAAAAAACTATTTTTCAATTACTTTAGTATCTATTGGAAAATTGTATGCTGACAAGACTAAAAAGTAGAAATAAAATAAAATAAAATAAAAAACTTTTTATTATACAACGCTTTTATAAATGGACTAAAAAGTAGAAAATAATATTTCTCAGTCCCACAGAATTTGTTTTGATAACTTTTGATTTTGAAATTTTAGCAAAAGTCATTATAAACAATTAATGACATTGAAAATGAGGAGCGTGGGACGCATGTAATACACTTGAGTTGATATGAAAAGCAACATATGTATGTGTGTATGTGGGCATATGAATAACGACCGCTTAAAATCGATCTCAAATTTGTACTTTCGCTGTAGAATGTTATGTAGTTTGACTATTGTCAATGAAATCGAATGCTTTGTACTGCATGCGCTCCACGTTTTTCGTTTTCAATGTCATTAATTGTTTATAATGACTTTTGCTAAAATTTCAAAATCAAAAGTTATCAAAACAAATTCTGTGGGACTGAGAAATATTATTTTCTACTTTTTAGTCCATTTATAAAAGCTTTGTATATTAAAAAGATTTTTTTTTTATTTATTTAACGTGGTTTCTCCGGTAGGTAACTAAATAATATTTCATGAAATAAAAACAGTACCATTGGAATTGATGAAGGCGCACAGTGCCTCCTTTCCATATAAAATGTGGGCAAAAATAGGATTGTGGACGGATTTGAATGAAAATTAGAGCGCTGAATTCAAAAATAAATAAAATAATATTAAATCGGTATAATAATAATAATCCCAACGGTTTTTACCCTCCATTCCCGCCCATCCGCACGAGGGGCGCAGTCCGCATGACGTACGGAACCAGTATTTTCAATTTTTGCGCCGAGTCACTATAGGCAGGAGTTTGTTAAGTGCCGAGATCTAAAACTGTTCAGCTACAGAACTAAATTCATCAGCTGATTTTGTCTTTATGTTAATAATTCATTTATTGAGAGAGGAGAGTACCGCTATGTACCGTATGTACATATAGTTCGCTCTATTTTAAAATGAGAGGTATCAAATGACAGGCTTGGCCTGTAGATGTGCATTAAAGATTTATTTTTTTGAAACGGATTGCCACCTGCTACAAATTGTATTAAAATTATTTAATTAGTTGAATGTTTTAGATATTATAATATGGGTATCAAATGAAATGGTTTTGAAAATGATTTACTTCCAAACGATACGTAGAAACCCTGCAGGGAAAAATACTAGTTGTGAACTCGAATAATACCAGTTCGCTTTTTAGTTCAACCAGTTCGTGTTCTATCTTTTTTCCATGCTAGCAACTGGTATTTTTAACACGGCCATGTGCTTCGAAATTTCAATTGTCCGGCTATGCACCTGCATATACCCGTTAAAATACCAGTTCATACTAGTAAAAAAAATATTAGTCCAATAGGATCCGAAAAGAAAGTTTGAGACCAGTTAAAATATAAATAAAAACATCCAAATTAACGTTTTAAAATATTTTATTTCATATAAAAATTGTATACAAAACTAGCTTTTTATTAAAATTTAGCGTTTGAATTTAAATGCTTAATCAAAGAAATGCAGTTTTATTTGGCAGCTCTATTCCTTCGGAAACCAACAAAACGAATAAAATAAATAGATATTGCTATAAAAATAAAAAATAAAACTCATTAGATACATACATGCATGGGCGTAGCCAGGTAGGGGCAAGGGGGTGCTCGAGTATTATCGAATATTATCTTTAAAATAAAAACATAACCCTTATTTTTTAATGATTTAAATCCTCTAGGCTTATCGTTTGCTATTAAATTTTCCTGACTGACTCTACCTACAATTTGTTGAAGTATATGACTTGGTTTTTTAACATATTTCTTTAAAATTTGCTAATTATTTTCAAAATCATATGCCGAAAAACTTAGTAAGAGACCTATTGTTTTTACGTTTTCAGTCAGGTGTAATAGCTAATGTACATTATATGTTACACTGCAGTCTCCGAAAATTTTTTTGAAAATTTTTAAACAAACAATGCAAGCATACGTTTTGAAAGGGATAAATTTTTAGCATATGGTTTGGGGCAAAAGAGCACCCTACAGGCACAATGTAATAGTAAGAACTCATAATATTGGTCATCATGAATATTGCCTTTAAAAACAAGAACACCTGTATATAAAAGCAATTGATGAAATTCAGTCACTGTCCATTAAAGATTTCATCTAGGGACCTGGGTTTCCTCACAAATTCTTTCTTTATAAAGGGTACTATAAAGATGGTAACATTTCTCCACTTTTGAATTTACTTTACCTTGCAGTGATC